CAGCAGCAGCTATTGCTGTAGCGTCACCGAGTGCAGGTACCGGGGCCGGGGGGAGCAACCTGTCTGTCCTGCTGACTGTCTGTCCTGACACATTGTGTGCGTCTGGGGGAGGAGAGGATGTGCAAGCTCTGGTGTTTTCATGGTATCATGGCTGCTGCATGGGGTGTCTAAGCTCGGGCCAACCCGTTGCCTCGGGACGTCTCCGGGCAGCATTGCGCTTTGGCGTCCGCATGCCCCTTGCGAGGATATGGTCTGGGTGGTGGTGACAGCACCTCTGGGATGCAGGCTCTGTGGCTGCCTGCATGTGTTGCTGCTCGTCTCCGTCCTCCCCTTTCCGTGCTGTGCCGCTGCCTCTGCCTCCTCCGTACCGCGCTGCCGAGGGCACCGTGTCACCCCGGCCCCTCCGCAGCCGCTTGCTCCATCACGTGCGCGATGTGCAGGTGAGCAGGTGCGAGGGTTGTTCAGCAGCCCGGGGTCAATGTGTGGGTCTGTGCATGCCCGTGGCATCTGCGGCCTCGTGCTCGCAGATGTGCTGTGGCCGTGGTGCAGTCGGAGCGGTGGGAAGAGCCGCTCACATTCATCCCCTCGTGGCCATCCAAGTTGGTGTCCCAGGGGTTGCACCGCCTTGGTCGCGGGCGGGTGCTCTTTGCTGTCCCCCTGCTCCTTCCCAGCTGCTCCTCGCTGGGCAGCCCATGTCCCTCCTGCGGGGATGCAGGGCTGTGTGGAGACCAGCCCTGCCACTCTCACTACAAGGCTGGTCCTTAGGTCCACAGCACCACGAGTCGGCTCAGTGAGAGCTGAGTCTGCTCAGGCTTCAGAGGCTTGTAGTAAAAAAAACACCCAAGGTACCTGCTCACCTGGTGTTTGAGCAGCTCTTATGCAGTGAAGGCTATTGAAATATCTGCATGTGTCAAAATGAGTGGGAGATCTGGGACTTGTGGTCCTCCTGCTGCTCTCTGCTTCGCTAAAGAGCAGAGATGTGACGTGCTGTTACTGTCTCCCTCTTCGCTTGGAGGCTGGAGGAGATGGCTGCTGCTTCCCTGCTTGCTTGAAATGGTGAGTGCTTCTTCCTGAAATCCAGAAGTCAAGGCTGAGCCAAGAACTTAATTCTGCTCTTTCATGCTTTGTGCTGGGGAGGAGTAGTGCAGTAATGGAGCTGGTAAGGTGCAAAGCCCAGTTCCTGCCCGCACGTGTTTACTGTGCAGTGCAGACCTGTGCAGTGGGAAGGATGAACCTGCAGGTTGGGATGCTCCTGAGTTTGCTGATCAAGTGTGATGTGTAGAACAGGGTGTGATGCATTTTGGGCTCTCCATGGCATTAGGGAGATGAGACGGTGTTCCTGAGACTCCAGACTCGATCAGCACTGTGTGCAAAGGGTGCTTGCATCCTGAAGCCTTGTGTTTTGGGGGCTGGGGGACAGCTTTTCTTGCAAAGGAGATGTTACGATGCTGTCCTTGCCCTGGAACACTCACCATGAAGGTGGCATTGCTGGTACATAGTTCGTTTACCAACTTCATGGGGTGGCACTGGGAACGTTTGAGTGCTTTGCTGGTATGGATGGTGTGTGGAAGTGGAAGATTCTCCAGGTAGTACCAACGAGGTGGCAAAATACAAGAGTGCAGCCCCGGATGTGAACCAGGGTGAAAACGGTGTAGTGGAGATGGAGTGGAAGGGACTTGTGCTCTCCCCTCTCTTGGAGCCCTTTGCTTTCCCAGTGCCTGGTACCCTTCTCTGGGGTGGCTCAATGACTGTGTGGATGAACAGCCTCCAAGGTCCTCGCTTGATTCCCAGTGTTCCTGACTCCATGGGTGATAAGGTCCCTGAGTGCACATGGAGACACCGGGTCCATTACCTTGATTGCAGGAGATTACGGGAGTAGAAGTAAGTGCTGACTGAAGCATGCAATGCTTTGGAAAGTGGTATTGCATTTCATCTGAACTATTTGAAATTTGGCTTGATTTTATTCCCCTTAAAATCCCTCCAACTGGAGGGGCAGCAGTTGAGGCTGCCATCTCAAACTGAACTGGTGGTTGATGTCTAGAAAGCCAGATGCTTCAGGGCTGTGTTCCTAAACCAAACAGAGCCTGCTCCTCTCTAGACAGGGTTTTTTTTGTAGCTCTTTTAAGCATTGAGATGTTTTTATTTTATTTCTTGATGCCAATGGGAGCAAAATAAAGAAGAAAATGCAATGCTCAGACCTCTCCCTCTGCCCCATTTTCCTGTGCCTGTTGGCAGGAGGTACAGGAGATGCTTCATGCTCCATCCCTCAGTGGACCATCTTAAGAAGCCCTTCCTGAGCCTTCCCCATGGCTCAGGGTGCCAGTGCCCCCGCTGCCCTTCCCAAAGAGGGAGTCCAAGGGGCAGTCACATCTCCGGGGCTGAAACACCTGAGGTGTGACAATGTGGTCGGTGGAGGGTGTCCCTATCTCCATAAGCATCAGCTGATCCTGGTGCCAGTGCTCAAGCAGAACCCAATCAGCCAGGACTGATCTCGGCATGTGTCTAAGCGACTTATTTGCAAAAAGCTCTTCCTGGCTAGTGAAGCCATCCCAGATGAGCCAAATGGTCAACCTTGCTGACTTCCCTGGCGCTTCGTTGGCTGTTCTATGGTGGAGATGGTGGAGGACATTGATCACAGCAGCTCAGAGCTGCAGCAGTGGAGGGCAGCTCTCGTGGGCCTCAGGGAGAAAGACAGGAGCAAATCCTGTGTGGGGGCCACTCTCTAAAGTAGAGGATTTTTGTTCTTGGTCTTATCTCGTGGTGCCAGCGTTGGCGCCTTCATCCCTAGCGCTCTGCATGTTGGCAGGGCGGGTTGGGAGATGTCATTTCTAGCACAGAGGAGTAGTGAGGCTAACAGGCAGGTTACACAAAATAGCTTTTATTCCTTTAGTTTTGCACTGAAAAGGCAGCACAACTGATGCCAGATTTGCGCTGCTTCCCAAAGTGGATCAGAAAAATGCGGAAGGCTGTTACCTGCAGCTGAGTTGAGAGAACAGACTTGCTCTCCTGTGTGTGCTTGGACAGGAGGAGGCTCTAGGAAAAGGTGAAGCTTTCAAAACGAAATCTGACCCAGCCACACGCACACAAAAAACCCCAATGCTTTTCCAGCCTGTTTTTTTTAGGCAAGTCTGCCTAGCGGGGCATTAGTCTTACCAACTTGTCGACTGTGCTCCTGAGCGCTTGCAGTGTTTCTGGGAGCAAAAGGATCCAGTCTCATGTTGCCTGATGGAGGAAAAGCTTTATGGAGAATGACTTAAGGAGTCAGCCTCAACTCTAGGTCTAAATGGACTGCTGCTGAAGCAGAAGCCCCTCAAGGATGCTGCTCCTTCCACTGGAACTGTGACTAGTAACAGTAACAAATGCTACCTCGTTGAAAACATCCCTGCTACCATCCAGGGATGGCATTCCAGAGACATCCCCTCCGGACAGGGGAGTCAGAGCCCTCTGGACAGGGCAGCCACAGCCTTCTCCAAGACTGATTTAGTGGCTTTCTCTCTGGGCCTAGGACTGTTTTTAGATCAATCTGCTCACCTGGAATCTATAGGGCAACTTGTCCCTCTTTCAGTAGCCCTCACCTCTCCCTTCCTGCAGTCCTCCATTTCCTTGCTGCAGTAAGGTCCCCACAGAGGGGGTCTGATGTGCTTGTATTGAAGACACTGTCCTGGCTGGGGTAAATGGTGTCAAGATTGTCACTAGTGCAGGGAGAGAGGGAAGAGATTTATGCTTAGGTTTGGATTTCAGAGCTTCCTTCTAGGAGAGACCTTGGGACTTTTGTTTTGAGACTATAGAATTGAGGACATTTGCAAGCTTCAGAGCTCAGTATAAATCAGTAAAAAGGAACAGTTATGGCAGAGCCCAAGCTCCTTGGCCATCCATCCCTCATGTCCCCAAAGGAATTGGGCCAGGCTGAGTGTCAGGGCAGGGAAAGCAAGGGGAGCTGTGGCCAGGAAGGGGACACCGGAGCTGGGGAGTGGGGAGGAAGGATGCTGGCTAAAATGTAGTTGTTGGTTTTTTTGCCTTTTTTTTTTCTCTCTCCCTTAAAGCCCCAATTGGTATTTGGAAGTTGATGTTAATTGATAATGACTTGAATCACGCAAAAGATTCAGAACCGTTGAGCCTGTTTTCCCTCTATTATTTGGATAATTTCTCTTCAACCTTTGTCTGCTCAAGATTCAGGTGAATCAGCTACAAAGAAATAAATGTTGCTGAGATGTAGGCAACTTTTAAAGCTTTGCATTTTCCCCAGGCAGTAACACTTTTCTGCTTAGTCTGGAAGCAGTATTGAGCTCTTCGTTGGCCAGGCTGCTTAGGAGCCTCTTCAGTGCAGTTCCCCATGGGCTCCTTCCTAGCAAGGACACCTGATGTCTTTCAACCCGGATTTTTGTCCTTTGAAAGACAAAGCCGACAACCATGTAGCTATTCCTGAAGGAACACCATAGCTATTAAAATATGAATTTGGTCAAGATGTAATGGTTTATATCCTTGCTACTGGTAAATATCTGCAGAACACGGTGCAGGAGCTTCATGGTGTGTGTGAGATCAAAGCAGAGAGACAGAGGCTCAAGGATGCTCTGTGCTCCTACTTGCAACGTCCAGTCCTGCATGGACTCTTCGGCCAGCGTACTGTATCTGTAGCTAAGAGGGTTCAAACAAATGACAAAACTTTGCCCCAAAGGTAATCTTGACAGGGCCATGAAGTTCTCTGTTAAAGTGTCTGATAGTTTGACTGACTTCCCCAACTCTTCATTAAAATCATATGGGAGAAAAAAAACTTTCAAATGTCCAAATGATACTTTGCTCATGTCGTCCTTCCTCTTTCCATGTATAAGTTCCAGTTTTGAAAGTGTATGAAAAGTTTTCACCTGAGCTATTCAAATAAAAAAAGTTTGTCAGTTGTATTTAAGAATTCATGACTCCCCCAGCTCTGACATGTACCTTGCCTTGCTGAAGGGCCAGCCAAGAGAAGATGATGTGTGGGTGCTTGTATTTGCATTTTCGCTGTATCGCACTGTTGTAGCCCAGGAAAACATAACTTT